AGATTCTCTACATTCAACTGAAAAAGGCGAAAGGAAATCATAGAGGTCATCAAAAACGCTACAAATATCTTTTTGAGAACAATATGGCAAAGTGCCGCATTGATACCAGCAACTGGGAGACGACGGCAAATGCTGGGTTTACATGTCCTCGAGTAGTCCCTGACGGACCACAAACTTCTGAAGAACATTGACGCAGATATGAGACCGAAAAGAGGGATCGTAGGTAGGAGAGAGAGAACAGAGGAAGAGACAATACTGCCTGAGGCTGGGTGTGCCACGACTGTGGAAGAGTGTGCGGCTCCAGAATTGGTTTATAAAGCCATCAGAATAGAATAGAAGATAATGATACTCGGTATCGAGTGATCGCCTAGATGATGATATTGATCTCAGAGACGCACTAGTGAGGGTTTCGTCCCAACCCAAAAAAATCAAATATTTTTGCCACATTCGACAATAATATACAATTTGTGCAACCCTTTTCCATGAAACTGACCTAAAATCCAAAGTTGTCAGAAGTTTGGTTCCACTGCAAACCTACGATCTTAAGCGGGGTATCAGCTTCAAAATCAAGAGACAAATCTCCATAATCAACCAATTATTATAGCTCGAAACCACACTAAGGCCACTAGCGTCAGTGAGAAAACGACAATCAGTTATGAGTTTGGCTATCGAAATGTTCCAAAGTCTGATAATCGCTGTGGTGTGAATTTACTCAAACCTGTCTAAACATTTGACGACTGTGAGCAGTATATAACAAACAGTCTAATGGCGTTTTCGATTGGTAGGTTCAGTGCGCACTGAGTGTATTTGCATCCTTTCAATCGACCTGTAGAAGAAAAAGACAGAAATAGAAAAAATTGTACTAGTTCCGCACTAGATCTACGAATCGGAAACGCCATAAAACAAAACCGGTATCGTTCTATATATCCGTTTGAAGTTTGGGTACAGAAAATAGGCTATTGCTCAACCAACAAGAATACCAAAATGAGATAACGAAAATATTCAATACTCTAGCAGAATTACTAAATCAAAACAAGAAGTGTGATAGGTGATGATCGATCTGAATATAACATCAATAAACGTAGGTCCTAAAATGAACTCAAACGTGAAGTCTATGATAGCTGCATTTTGACGGTGCATACCTGCATACCTATGGAGTGGACACCATGGCTCTTACTAAAAAGACCGCTGAGAAACTATGGGTGAGCCAAAGATCTATGGAAGGGGCCATGCTAGGTATTATGGCATTAGATACAAAATGCGAAATAACGCAATCTGAAACAGAGCCAAAGTAACATATATCCTAGAGGTTTGTGATGTGGCGAACAGAACGCAGACAGGTGGACGCACATAATTAACAAATGGAGGAATAGGCAGACCCCAACTAAGATGGACAGGCGACATCATTAAGATAGCTGGAAAGAAGAGGCCTATATGCAGCACTGAATGAAAGCTGGCTAAGAAAGATATAGGCAGTCATTGAACCATTCGGGACCTGCAGATTTGGCCTAAGCATTGTGAATACAACCCAAAGATTGGTCGTTGGAGTTGAGGTTCCTAAAACACAATGTTGCGATATATAAAAATGATAGTCCGGTATACTATCAAAGGAAATAAGTTTTATATGAGCTAATTTTATAAATTTACGACGCAAAAAGTCGGATTTGTTTTCCATGCAACTAAGGCCAAGAAAATTTGCAGTGTTATTTCTCTAATATTTAGAAAACAATATAAGTGACTGAAGAGACTACATACACCCAAGTCGGTGGCGTATGACGTATATCTGAAGATTTTTTTCAAATTTGCTTCCAAACAACCTTTAAGTGAGAGAATGAAATCAAAGGGGAGATTGAGAAAACAAAGATGTCAACAAAGAGACTGCTTCTTCCATAAGTATAAACTCAAATACGGTGTCGATGGCTACTGAATCATTGACTCAACTAGTAAGACATCTATCCTGAAAAATATACCAGAATAATGGGACTTCAATGAGCACATTAGCACATAAGTATGGGACAGGACTCTTATAGGATGGATAAGCCAATTTTGAGAGATAACATGGAACCATCTGAAACTTTAATACCCTAGATAGAAGTATACCATCATTAGCAGCAAAGTTTTAAAATTTGTCAGAGATGGCCTGAGCCAGCAGGGTTTGATATGCAACATTAGTATTCGAGGAAGAGTCTGAAGAATTATCAGGCATTCAAGTGAAAGCGAGAAGGTAAACTAATTGATACCACCCATGGTTTTTTTCGCACCATGCCTAATAAGGCATTGTTTTTTTTTCACACACTGGTTAACAGCAAAAAAGTTGAATTTGAGGGGTTGGAAGGAAAAATTTGTTGTTTTTTCATTAAAATTTGTCCGTGTTTTTTTTTTCAGTAAGCTTGTAGCATGCTAAATGCTACTGTTCGTAACTGTTCCTTTTTCTTTCATATATTCTTTTATAATTTAAGTTGTCGCCTTCAGTGCTGACAGTCTGGCGACTGCCATTAATAAAAAAAGGTTTCTGCTGTCAATAATAATAGCAATTATTAACCTAGAGGGCACGCTTTTTGTTCAAATTTGAAGTACCAGTTTGGTACCAATAGTTTCCGTTGGCTATTTTTCAAAGGGGGGAAGCTCTGCTTGTTCAGCTTGTTCAATTCTTCGTGGAAAAAAAGTACCTTATCGGCCATCAGGCACTAGTTTGGAGAAATGAAGGTGCGCAAGGTAATGTTCCGTTAATTACCAAAACATTTATTAGCGAAAGTCTTGTGATTACCGATTTATTCAAGTTAGAATTTCGAACCACTCGTGGTAAGTTCTTTTTAATATTTTTTCAAAGTAATGGTTTTTATGGAATACGTCTATTACTTAGGATCTTTCGAGGAGCCAGCTTCTTTTGAGGAGCCAGTTTCTTTCGAGGAGCTCGTTTCTTTCAAAGAGCCCGTTTCCAACGAGCCCGCACATTTCGAACGATCCGCATTTTCGTGGAGCATGGGCATAGAGTTTTTGAAGGGATTTCCTAGAGGAAACAAGTCCGTCACGTGTCGACACCTGTCTTTCAACACTTGACGAAAACTATGAACTTTTACCCTCTATCTACTTTGATTCAAGGCTAGAATCTGCAATTTTCAACTTCCCTCGTCAAGTGACAGAAAAAGGACGGCTACCGTACTTCAACGTTTAATTATTACGGATTTATTTGTGATTTATCTTTAATTAACTTTTAATACTGCCGTGTTTCGAGAATGTTTATTTAAGTATCGTATCATTAATCTGAACTGAAGTCAAGGTTGGGCAATATGTTCTGAATTCAAATTTATCAAGTGAGTACCTACATCGTCAAAAATTGATCAATTTTTCACCTGGGCTCTATAACTTGTAGACTTGAGGATTTCTTCTAGGTATCTGTGATTTTATTTTTCTGGCAGAGCTGACCATATTTATCCATATAATGTTATAATTTTCAATTATTCATTTTCAGCGACTGTCAAGATAAACTATGTGACAACTATACTAGGGTTAAACCTCTATCCATTGATTTATTATTTACTGGTTAACTGTTTTTATTCTCCGAACTATGGATTTAATTTGATATCAAACCGTGGAAACATACACTACTAATTTAATTTGAAAATTACTCGATTGTTTTATTGGTTTACCTGTGTCAAGATTTGGTTGAGTTGTATGCCTTATTTATTTCCTTTTCAGAATTATCAATTACCTTTTGCCAATTATTTTTTTTTTTAGGTGTGATTCTGAATTTTCACACGTCAATATTTCACGTGACTTAATTATTTATTTTTACAAATTCAGTGACGCCCTTGCTATTCTGTCCTATTGACCCACCCCTAATAATTATTTGCTGAGCAAACTGAGCATATCATGGGCCTCTTGTTAATTCTTCAACATTAACCAAAGGGATACAAGCTGGCTGGAGGAAACCTAAAGCCAAAAAATGCTTATAATAGAAAAACGCACTCATGTGCAAGGTCTCAAAACGTATTTCACAATATTAGGGTGACTGATATTATCAACAAAGTGGGAAGTGGAAGTGCTTAAAGGGGGTGTGCCAAAAAAACAACTTCATCTCAAAAAAAAGAGAAAAAAAATCTAAGAATAACAGTGAAATCCGCACCCCTCTATGACAAATAATACCGCAGATATGGCTCTATGAAGGTCCGCATCTCACCCTATGACGTCACGAAAGCTCAAGCGACGCACGAGAAAGTGGAGTTAATTAAATTTACATATGTTTCTCCTGTGTTACCTGCAATAATCTAAACAAAAACCACTCACGCGTGCCGGGAACAATCAAATTAACAATGCGGAGCGCGGCTCGACGAAGTTTTCGTGACGTCACGAGAGCGTCGTCCATACTTTAAAGCGGTATATCTCAGCGATGGTTTATCGTAGAATAACGAGGTTTGAACAGTTATTCTTAGATTTTTTTACACTAAAACTTTAATTTTTGGCGCACACGCCCTTTAATGGAAACTGAACACAATGCATAGAGCACAAAGCTGATTTCGTAGGAGTAAATACAACACGTCAGAACAAATTTTTAAAATATCACACTGTATCATATTATTTACACTTATTGGTTATTACATCATACCTACCTAATGTGAAAATTACCTTGAAACATGAAGAACATTCTATAGTCTCATATACCATTTTATGTTAAACATGCTTACGCATTTTCATTAATTAACTATTGTGTTTTCAATTGCTATATATGCATTCTAAAAAGTAATTCAAATTACCAGCTCATTTCAGTTTGGCTAAAATGTTTGGATTGAGTTGGATTGGATTTCACTCGTCACCCGTAATAATCTAGTTCGCAAAACTCGAAATAGGCGACTTATTAGAGGATTTTCAAAAAATGACGTTCGTTTGATCGAAATTCGAGTTGTTTCGGCTAAGTAAACAGCAACAAAAAAAAGTTGATGGGTTGTAGTAGAGTATTTAACCACCAATAAATTATCTAATAATATTTTTTCATCTTCCAGGTGTATAAAAATAAGAACCAACACATACACATCGAAGTGATGACGGCATGAAAACACCTTCCACGTTCCTCCTTCTACTTCTGGCAACTGTCAATTCGAAATATGAGGCATGCAAAATCCGAACCCTTTCGAATAACGTCACTCCGACCAGACTGAACTACAACGCGACCAAATTAGTCGACGATACCGCAACTAAACTTCTAAAGAATTCCCAAAACATGAATTTTTCATTGGCATCCCGGAAACTTTTATCGATGCAACCAGATATTGCCGGAGTGATTTTAACTAGAGTGGATGAAAGAATCCTGGCTTTAAAAATAAACTCCAGGCTGAGGATATTTCCTAATCGAACTGCCGAAACTGATGTTTTCTGGAAGGCATTTAATGAGGCTGACGGATGGGGGAAACCGTTTAAGGATTGTATTTTCCTTGCGAATTCCTGGTTTTACGTGTACAAACATCCAGTGAGAAAATTGGGCATTGGTTTGTTTATTACGATAGATTTGAATCAATGTGACAGGGATTTAGAAGAAATATTTGGAGGACCAGACAAGTGCGATGACTCCCAAATAGTAAGTAGACTTTAAGTAGATCTAAGCTTAGCATGCATAGCAAAAAGTATACAATTGATTATACAGAGTGATTCAGTCATATTGCAGTAAAGCTTTTCTAAGATTTTTCTTTGTGCTTTTTTGATACATTTGGTCAGTTCAGTTTAAAAGGCATCCGGATATTAAATCCAGAAACATCTTGGGTGATGCTAAAATAGCGCGATCGTAAAAGGAATTTTGTATGTATCTATCGCAATTTTATTTTTATTTATATTCAAATCTTCTTACAAGAGCTACTTTGGACCCGTCAACGTTACACGTTATACAGATCTATTCAAGTGTGTTGTCATGTATATATGCTATGCGAATTCGAAAGATAGCTTTAGAAATATCTGGTTGCATGTGGCAAACCTTTCATCGGTCCATGTGAATAAAATTTGCTCGAGATGCAATTCGACAAAATAGTTTCGGTAACATCTGCCAGAGGCAAAATAGATTCGACACATATTTCAGCTTAAAATAAAAAAAAATATATTTTGAAAATATAGTGCCACACATTTAAAACTAAATTACTGCTTTCCATTTAAACAATCAAAATTCCGTAAACTGTTAGCCATCAATTCGCACTTCGAGAACCAGAAACGTTTTTACCAAGAATGGAAAAGCATACATTTATTCTGAATGTAGCGTGAAATGTGTGCGAACGCTGCATCTGACACTGAAGGATTTGTGATTTCAGAATAAAGAATTGGGTTTATTTTAGTTTATCGTCTTTTAGCTAGTGAGAATTATATTGACTCAATTTTTTTTTGCATATTTAACTGCATTTTTAGTTTTGTGTTTCAACCTCCTATCGTTTGTGTAAAGGAACCACTCTGCAAACCTCCGATGCCTCTAAGGAGCCGAAAATATATCCATCCTTGTTTGGTAAACTATAAGATGTTTTTCTTTGTGTTTGGATGTTCCATGCTGCCTCCTTTTGATTTCAAATTTTAGAACTGCTTGGCCCTTGTGATCTCTTTCAGTCCATACCATTTTATACGAGTCTCATTTTCTTAGGCTGCTTTATCCATTAATGAATGTTGGCGACGATTCTGGCATATTTGTTTCGATCTTACGGGGCTGTGAAAAGTGCATGGGCATCGGACAAAGTCTCTTATGTTCTTTAGCCACGAATATATTTTCCTCCCGATGCCTCTCTTTCCCTCGATCTTTCCTTCCATCATGAGCTTTAGGAATTGATATCTACTTGGAATTTCTGAAGATATGACCCAGATATGCAGTTTTCCTTCTTTTCACTATCTGTAACATCTCTCTCTTTGTTCCCATTCTATTCAGAACTACTTCGACACGCGATCCGTCCAAGAAAGTTTTAGCATTCTTCTGAACACCCACGTTTCAAAGGATTCCGGTCGGTTCATGACACTGGCCTTTATTGTCCATGTCTCGACTCCGTACAGTAGCACGGAGTAAATGTAGCATTTCACAATATGGTACCGTAATGTCAAGTTGAGACTGTTGTTGCTGAGAAGAGCTCTCATATTCATAAATGCTGCCCAGGCATGCTCAATTCTACCTCGTAGTTCTATGTCTGGATCTAGATCTTCAGTTATTTAGCTTCCTAGGTATCTAAACTTTGCGACTTGCTGGATTTTCCTGCCATTCACTGTGATATTTAAGTGCACATTTGGTGTTTTGCTAATCATCATTACTCTCGTGTTTTTTTTTATATTAACCTTTAGGCCCAGTCGTTCGCCTTAAATAGCTATTCTATAAACGAGGCGTTGTAAATACTTTCTGGCAGTCTGCTATTATGACTATGTCATCAGTCTAACGTATGTTGTTGACACCCTGTCCATTAATCTTGATGCAGTCCCCTGTGTCCTTCAAGGTATATTCAAAAATCGTTTCAGATTAGAGATTGAAGAGTACGTAAACCTGTCTTACTCCTCTTTCTATCGGTGTGTAGTGTCACTTTCCACTGTCACTGATAGTATTTGATTTATGTATAGGTTCTTTATAAATCGTAAATTGTTCTCATCTATCATCCTATATTGAAGCATCTTTATCAGCTCATAGTGTGTTTGACACAGTCGAACGCCTTCTGATAATCTATGAAACACATTAAAACGTCGTTACGCTGGTCTCTTCATTTCTAAAGTAATACGGTAAGACTGAAAAGTGCTTCACGTACGCCCAATCCTTGTCTGAACCCGAACTGAGTAGGGGCAATGTCTGTTTTGCATCTGTTGTGAATTCTCGTATGGATTATCTTAAGGAACGTTTGCAAGACTTGACATTACGCTGATCGTTCGGAACTGATCACAGTGGTTTGCGTTTGGCGTTTTTGGGATCGGTACAAAAATTGACTGAAGTCAGTCCTGTAGGAACTCGCGCGTACTTGTCTCATATGTTGTTGAATATTTCTACCAAGTAGTTCTCTTCATTCTGCAGCTTTATTATCTCTGTATATACATCGTCTGGTTCTGCTGCTTTTCCTTGTTTGCTTTGTTTAATTGGCTTGAGGACTTCTGATTTCAGTATTTTTGGAGAGGGTTAACCTTCATATTCTTCATTAGGCATTCCAACGACCTGTCAAAAAGTGCGTTATTAGGGTATGGAATTTAAAGCTTTTTAAAGTGCATTTTGCGGTTGTTTTGTGAATGAACTCTGTTTATTTTTTTTATTTTATTGACTTCATTAGTGTTGCTTCTAATTAAAAATGCCACAAACGTGTCTTGTAGTTGATTGTGGAAGTAATTTCAACAAGGTAACAAGGATGATGTCAGGCTTTTTTCATTGCCCTCTGTTTCACAATTTTCCAATTAAAACGTGGACATTTTTCACTACCACTGTTCCTGCATCTACAATTAAGCCAGACTCAAAATACTTGTGAGAATCTAAGCTTTTGTAGGCCTTCATTTGCTCATTGATGTGAAATTTGTGAAAACTGTGGGTTAAAATGTCAACTGGACATTTTTTCAAACTAAACGTTCGCCCACATCCCAATTTTCTTGCATTTAAGTCTTTATATTTACTCTGCATCTCAAAAAGTATATCATAACAAAGTAAACTGTAATTAGCTTGAAAATATTCCAAATAAACTCAAGATAAACAAACAAACGTCAAATTTTCCACACTCGCCATATTGAAAAATTACGTGGTTTGGAGAGCCTAATTGAAATATTGTCGGACCTGGGGGCTATGAGGGGGTGAAAATCAAAACTAGAGCCAAGAACCAAAATAGGAAAGTTCATTTAAAATAAAGCTTACCACAAATACATTTCAGATATAGGCATGGGCACTAATAATAATCAAAGGACTAAAAAGGCACTATTATTACTGACTAACTATCGCGGTTAATTCTGGGTCTGTACAGGGTGCTGCAATTTGGAGTGTTTAAACAGGAAAAACATACTTCCAGACCAGATAGAGAAAAATTGACTTAGATGGTACTATTAATACAGGGCGATTTTCGATTTTCCCCTATTATGAAAACGAGCTATAAGTTTTTTGTTTATCAATTTTTTTTTTCTGTGAAAACAACAACATGAAAACATCTTTGGAATACTTTTTTGAGCAGAATCCAGTGGCGTACTCAGTTTTTTTCTATTTCGCTCCCATTTTGAGATATTTACCAAAGTCCGATTTTTTTAAATAGGACACCATATATATTGATAGTTCATTTGATAGCTCCGCTTTTGCTGATTTCAATGATATAAAGTTCGATAGGTTTATCTCTAACAGATCTCTCGAAAAAAAATTATATCTGTTTCAGTCAGAAGAAACAATGAGTTAGAAAGAGACCTTCCTTATTTTCCTTACAGATATAAAATCCTTTTCTAACACATTGGTCCTTATGACAAAAATAGATTTTTTTTTTCTCGAAAACTGTTAGAGATAAACCTATCGAACCTTATATCATTGAAATCAGCAAAAACAGAGCTATCTAATAAGCTATTAATACGTAGGGTGTTTTATTTAAAAATGTCGAACTTTGGGCGATATCTCGAAATCGGAGCGAAATAGAAAAAAACTGAGTACGCCACTGGATTGTGCTCAAAAAAGTATCACCACAATGTTTTTACAGAAATGAAAAAAATGATGAATAAAAAACTTATAGCTTTTTTCATAATAGGAGAAAATCGAAAATCGCCCTGTATCAATGGAACCATTGAAGATATCGAGATACGGTTTTTGACAATCGAGGTTTCTCGAAAATCGATCCCATGACATCTAAGACAATTTTCCTCTATCTGGTTTGGAAGTATGTTTTTCCTGTTAAAACACTCCAAATTGCAGCACCCTGTACACTACCCTCTCATCTTTCAAAAACCATTATTTTATATCAATACCGCGACCGCTGATAATAAAAATTATTACCAGTGAACCGTCGTTGACATTGACCTTCCATGGGTTCAGGTTCCTCATATAATTTAATAACTTGTTCAACTTGCAACCGAATGTTATTTAAACGTGACGTGATCAATGATTTCCCTGAAACCCATGAACCTTTTTTGGAAGACTATTGGGTTTAATTAACCGAAGGAGATCCTCTATTATCCTAGATACGACATATCCCCTGGGCTTAGAAAGCTGGGACCCAGCTTTACAAGAAAAATCTTATTATACAATATTTTACACGATAGGGTAAAAGAAAAGACTAATACAAAAAAATTTACGAGATGAAGTCGTCGCGTAGAACGGTAGTTGTCGGCTCTTCTTCCGAGTTCCCTAGGCGTTGGTTATTTAGAGTTGAACTTCTGATGACATACATAGCCTTCTCAAAGTTCCGTTAAGTGGGGTCCATGCGTTGAATTCGGGTTTTTTTCTGGGATTTTGCGGTGATTGTGGGGTATTGCTCATTCTGAAACCATACTGGTCCTTGGTCAACTTGCCAGCGATGTGCTGAAACGGCTTCTTTTTTAATCAGTGTGTGACCAACTGTATTCCACTTTGTATCCCGAGCTCCTTGTAGTCCGGGAAGGTTTAGGTCTTTAAACCGCTCCACCTGTTAGGTG